TGGAGGATGTTAGTGATTCAAGATCACTTTGGTCATTCATTTTACCCGTGGTGGATCGGCATGTCCTTGCTCCCTCTAAAGGCCTAGGCCCTAAATCAACCCTCTTACCAAAAGATGAGGAATGACCTCCGTGACCCGGATATACATGTGAGTTTGTGATTGTCAGATTGGTAATGTTTCTAGATTGATCATTTTGTCTATCTAATCTATAGTGTGGGGACGTCAGCATCAGTTCACTCCTCCTTAATTTAGGAATAAAATTGATTGTCATAAACCATAACTGTGAAGTGGTATGCCCTTCTCCACAAAATGTCTGAGTAAGGATAATTCTATTTGTTTATCACATGCAGTATCTTCTATGTCTCAATGACATATACCAAACCACACCTTTTTATTTAATCAAATAAACTACATAAAACTTTCACACATAAAAAAAATGTTAAAAAAATTGTTAAACACAAAATGTCCTCTGCCCACTCTAATATTTTTCTCATTCTATATCTTGCTTCTTTTCCCAGAGACTGATGTACAAATGTGCAGATGATATATTATGTACAACACTTACTGTTTGATCTATCTCTTAGCGTGTTTGTGGAGGATTCCTCCTGATGCCCCCACTGGTGTCTCCTACCACCTCTCCTGATCCTTGATTGAAGCAGAGAATGAAATGTATCCACTCTTCTATATATCATCAAGCCTATGGCCTGGGTTCCCCAAACATTTCAACCAATCCAAGTATAAACGCAATTGAATGAGTAATCATAATTTCCATTAAAAAAAAAAAATATATATATATTCTCTCTTCTAAGCTCTCCTTCAATTGTTGTAACTTCTGTGCTATCACTAAATCAGTTAGTGCTACCTCCACATCTCTAATCATTTCTGCAATCTGTTATTTTTCCTTTTCTATAGATTCCACTGTTAAGGTCATGATGTTAAATTGAACATTTGTTCAATATTAACATAATTTCATTTTATACTTCTCATTCTGTGAGAACAAGACTGGTACAATCCTCGCCCTTAGACCCTCGCCCTTAAGGGATCACCTGTAATCGATGATACTCTACTAGTGTGATTGCATGCAAATCATAAAACATCAACTTCAACAAAGCTCTCTCATACTTTGTTTTTATCTGCATTTATGTTTGTAAATACATGACAAGATATTTATTATTTGTGTTTCATTACAGGAATGCTTGTTTGGAAGGTGAATGGAATGTAATGGCATATTAAGGGTTAAGTATGGTTTGGTTCAGAAAGTATGGTGTCCTTTCCTAATGGGGAACACTTGTTTCGCTTTGTATAATATTTGCATGATGGCTTGAGGAAAGGCTGATGCCTGACCTGAAACTGTTGTCATTGTTCTTAATCACTTGCTGACTGGGGAGTTTACACCCCCTTCCTGTCCAAGCCATTTTTCAGTATTCAGCGCTGCAGTACTTTGACATTTATTCAGTCATACAACGCTGTTATTTAATCACCACTGTGGTTTTTAATTTCTACTATATAACAAAAAAAGTACTGAAAATGTAAAAAAAAATGTTTTCCCTTTTTTATATGTTAACATTTATTATTACCCAATTTTTTTGTAAAACATAAAATACGGGGTCACATCAAGTAAATGATGAAATCAGGACACCAAACATGTCTAGCCTTAAAGGAGAACTATGAGGTGAGTGCTTTTCACTCACCTCATAGTTCTAACCGACCTGTGACAATGAGACTGTCACAGGTCGGCTCAGTAGATCGGGAGGTGAGCGAACACATACCGGCGTTCGCTCACCTCTCGATCCTGTCACTGCTCTCTGCCGTGACAGGGGAGGGGCTGGATTCCCCCCTCCCCACTCTGATCCACCAGCGCTGACTGGCGGAACGGACGGGGGAGGGGCGGGTACAGCTGGCTCTGCCTCTAGATAGGCAGAGCCAGCTGTCAGTCACACAACTGGGCGGATCCCGGCACAATTGTCGGGATCCGCTTCAGCTGCGGCATCTCAGTATACCGCGAGCAGCAGCTCGCGGTATACTGCGGCGTCTCAGTATACCGCGAGCTATAGCTCGTGGCATCCTGAGCCTAGGGTGATGGGAGGACGCTAGTTTGTGTCCTCCTGTTACCCTAAGGAGAACAGCCTTAACCCCATAGCTCTCCTTTAAAATTTTGCACACTCGCAAAATCGCAAAAAACTACCACACCCAAAATTGTCCATAGGTGACACTTTTTAAAGCTTTTATCACTCATCAGTTTATCACTCATCAGTTTAGTGTTATCAGTGATTGATGGTCATAGAATTATTGCTCACACTCTGACATTCACGATGATATGTAACATGTGTGGCATAATGGGCGCAATCGCTGCTTTTGCGCGTAGGTGCAACGGTCACATTTTTGCGCTTCTATCTGGGGGTGGGGGACTTAAAAAAATAGTTTTTTTTGTGTGTGTACATTTAATTTTTTTGTGACCAATTTATTTTTTTACATTTTTCTTTTTTTACACTTAACGTTATTGTGCTATCAAATATACAGTGATAGGTCCTCTTTATGGAGACATCAGGGGTCTCTAAGACCCCTAATGTTACCTAGGGACCCCCAAAGAAGCTGATGAAGCAGAGATCTGCTTTAACAGCTTCTCTCCGGATTCTGTAGCCGGAGAGTGACAGCTGAATGTGAAAGTGATAAAATAAACATCACTTCCTGCGTTCACAGAATGGGGAGGAGATCAGAGGGAGATTGTGTACGAAATCTCCCTCCATTCTCCCTGCACGGATCCATAATGCCGGTCCCGGATCATACGCCTGGGATCGTGGCAATGGTGGTGGAGATGACGATGGCAGGAAAGGTAAGGAGAGGGGGCACACAGATAGGTACCTCATACAAGTGATCGGGTTACTTTACAAACATCGCTGGCTGTTTAAAATTTTGCCAGTTTCCTGCTCGTGTGCTCCAGGGGGCGGGCGCTGGGCAAGAGGGAAATTTGAAGACACTCTCACCCTTTCCCAGAAGGCTCCCGTCTGGCTGTTTCTCTACGTTCGGTGGACGGGAGGTGTTTAAACTAAGACATTTAACCTTTTAACCATTTTGCAAATAAAAAGAAGGCAGAAAGTGCAACAACTTTGTGTTTCATATTTATTTATTTTTTAATTTAGGTTTATTTTCAATTTTTTTTATTTTTCTACTAGAACATGGTGTGGCACTGAGATTGGGAAAAAGAAATAACATTCCAGTAGCCTCCTCAAACTAAAATAAAAATGCTAAAGCTGATCAAGAAGGCAGTCCCAATAGGAATAAGAAAATCACAGTTGTGATTTTGTGACACCATTTCAGACATGGCAATTTCCTGACACACTTGATTGTCTGTATTTTTTCAGCATGTTGCTCAAATCTGGTCTAGAAATTCTTCTTCAAATCTCAAGATTAAATATACATGCTCATGTGCAATTAATGTAAACAAGACCATGACAATCTGGAGACAAAGACAACTTCAGCTATTCTAAAGCATATTAGATGCTACATATTCCTACTGGAAAGACACAATTGCCAACAATGACAAGCCTATCCTCTTCTTTCTTGACATCAGTACAGTTAAAATCCTATGCATCCTCAACTGCTGTACCACACAGTGGTAGTTCCACTTCTGACAAAAAACTCATCTGTCAGTTGCAGCAATTATAAAGGAACTGATGTCTTCAGCAGAAAGAAACCAGCACAGTGATCCTAACTACCACCAACAACAAAAGACAATGCAGATCACAGCAGGCCAACAATACAATATTCTCCAGCATTCTTGTTATCCAACAAAGAGCACCTGCCTTAACCCCTTTTCTAATATTTTCATTAACTCAAGGGTCTCCTTTGCATGCATAAAAGTATGCAAAAGCTACATGCCATACCAGGCACCTCTGTAAAGTGTGGTCCAACTTTAACCTATGGGAGGACCAACAAAGCAACATACATGGTAATAATTAAATTGAGAGGAAGTTTACCTGGAGTATACCTCATCATCATTATAGAAGAAGTTGGACCTTATATTGTTTTTCAAAACTTGGTCGCCTAACTTCCAAATTACATATTGCTTTTTATCCCATGTTTCTCTGTAAAGTAGAAACTGTGATATATATACTTGGACAGCTCACTCCTCTTCATTCTTGACTATGCTCTGCAAAGGAGATGTCCTCTTGATTGATAGCTCTTATCTTACTGTCTCTGTACATTCCTAACACAAAACAGGGCTCCCCTTCCAGTTCTAGTGCCTGTGCTGATTCTTGTGGTATGCCTCACCCCTCTGTATTCCTGTGACCTCACAAGGATCTGAATCTGTTGTTATATCTGCTTGATCAATTAAAAAATACCAGTTGATCATGTCAGAAATGTACAGCTGATTGAAGAAATAGGTCACCAGCACTCCATAAGTTAAAATGAATGAGTCCTTTTTAATGGACAATGATGTCACAGAAATCCAACATGAGCCGACGTTTCGGGGCCACACAGGGTCCCTTCTTCAAGGCAAGAGATTGGTCACATGTTGGATTTCTGTGACATCATTGTCCATTAAAAGGACTCATTCATTTTAACTTATGGAGTGCTGGTGACCTATTTCTTCAATCTTGTGTTTTGCACGTGCCATCCGTGAAGTTACTTCGAGCACCATTTATTTGATTGTTGGCCGGGACTGCTGAAAGGTGTGCGGAGGGCACCTTCATCAATTAGAAATGTACAGCTGTCTTGTGTCCTGTGCACTATTCCTATGTTATCGTAAGGATTCTAATCAGCTCTGTTTGGCATGTACTTCCCAAATTGTGTGTTTCTGTGAAGATAAAACAGATTTACATAGAACTATTTAAAGAAAACAAAAAGTAATAAGTTTGTGATTCTCCTTATTGATCAACTAAAATAGCAAATGGGTGAGTCAGGAGCAAAAACAGTTGGCTTAACACTATTGTATAGAATAAATTAGCAGAATTTCATGGATAGTTGTCATTTTTACACCTTCACATAATTCTGCATGCCTAATGTTGTTGTCGGTGTTCTTGAAGAAAACGTTTCTTTATTGTAGTCTTTACATCTTTGTTACGAAAACTATAAATAAGGGGGTTAACTACAGGTGTTAGAACTATATAAACAACAGACAGTACTTTATTTAATTCAAAATCTTTGCTAGCTCTTGGTCTAACATAAACAAAAGCCACAGTCCCAAAAAATATGGTAACAACTGTTAGATGAGAAGCACACGTGGAAAAAGTCTTAAATTTACCAGTTGTGGATGGAATTGCTAGTATAGTCATTATAATTCGGATATAAGTCCAAAGGGTCAAAGAGAAAGAAAACACAACAATAGCAGAAGCTGTTAGGAAATTTAAAGTCTGCAACCTGTTTGTATTGGAACATGATAACTGTAAAAGAGGAGAAAGATCACAAAAGAAATGTTCAATATATCTGTCACAGAAGTGTAGCTGACTGAGTAAAACAGTAGGAAACAAGTTTGGAATGAAGCCCCCTATCCAACAAGCCAAGACTAGATAGCAACATAAAGGTCTATTCATAATAACATTATAGAGCAATGGGTGGCAAATTGCACAATAGCGGTCATATGACATCACTGCTAGAAGAAAACATTCAGCAGACCCCAGGGAGAAGAAGAAAAAGAACTGAGTGAGACAGCCAGTTAGCGATATGGATTTACTTTTCCCAATTAGAAGAGCTAGTAGTTTTGGAATTGTTACAGATGTATACAGCATTTCAATGAAAGACAAGTTGCCAATGAAAAAATACATAGGGCTATTGAGGAGGCTGTCTGACAGTACAATAGTTATAATGATGATGTTTTCAGTGATGGTTAGGAGGTACATGAACAGAATAATCCCAAACACATTCCATTGCCAAAATTGAAATGCAGGAAACCCATGTAATATAAAATAGGCAAGATAATCAGATATATTCACGTTCATCCTGAAAAACAAAACCACTGTAAACAAACTAGAAAGTATTTTTTTTAAAGGATTTAATTTCAGGGGTGTGTACTACAATATACCCTGTCTGCCACTAAAGTCTCCTGTCTTCTGAATGATGGCCAGTGTCAATCAACCTACTTCCACTAAGTCCAGTCTGTCATGGACCTGTTCACTGGAGAAGCGCCACCACACATTCTGGGCTCAGAGTGCTTGTACACTGAACATAACTTACATTGCATTGGTGTTCATAACTGGAGAAAGAACTCTCAACCATCTACTGTCAAAAGAGGAATGGGAGGACCCATGACATCAGTAGACTTGCAAGAACTCCCTCTGGAAAAAAAAAATATGAATATATGATTAAACAAAAGTGATGGGTTCTCAAGAGGGTGGAAGAGGGTATATTTTTGTTTTTAAGCAGTGTTCTGTTTAAATAAAATTCTGCTAGCGTCAGTATATAGTTATTTAGCCTCAATCATGTGATTATAATTTTCATGATCTGTTGTTTTTTTATTTCTGTGCCAGTTTTCTTCCCCCTTAAGCATGGTAAAACGGCATATTTCCTAAACACCTAATCTCCCTCTTACAAATAATGAAATGTTAGATCATATGATTTTAAAGTGTTTGTGTAGACTAGCCTTTTTCTACCAGTGTGCTGTGGCACCCCAGTGTGCCTTCTGGCTTTGTTAGGGGTGCCTTTTACCTTTTTGCACAGCATCATGCATTTCCATGGTGCAGATGAGCCAGGCACCGGTACCATGGAAACACATGACATTAATCCAGGTTGAGCACCTAGGACCTCCCCAGCATTCAGAAGTCCACCCCTGTTCAGACCTGCTCCACATCTCTTCTACCATGCTGCCACAGCCACCTTGTAGTGAAGATTATAAGGTAAAACTCTGATGTGAAGGGGGCTGATAATGTAAAGGGGGGACTCTGATGGCATACCAAATCCATAGCAGATGAGGGTGAACTACATGTCACTTTTTACATTTACATTTTTAACATTTCAGTTTGTGGTGCCTTTTGATTTAAAATGTTTGCGCTTTTTGTTTTGTTTTGGATAGACGAAATAAAGGATGAAAAACCCCTGCCAATGTTTTTTTTAATTGGATTCAGCTGAGAAATTTCTCTTCACTTCCTATCTTGGAGATGCAGCAGGAAGTTAGAGAAAATCTCCCAAAGTGAGGGGTATTCCCCTTTTGGACAGTTGTCCCCGAAACACGTGTCTCCATTGATAGATTTCCCCAACGTTTTGTTCCGGGGACAACTCTTTTTTGTTATTCATTGACAATGTTCACCAATACTTTATTAAAATAATGTTTTTATAGGTACAAAGTGTTACATAAGAAAGAGCGGCTATTTGCCTGTTCTAAAAATGACATAACAGTATATAGAATTTAGCAATTAAAAAGACTTTCTCAACTAGGGTAACGTGGCACCCTGGGGTACCTTCTGGCTTTCTCAGGAGTGCCTTAAACTTTTTGCACAATGTCATGCCTATCCATGCTTTAGGTGGGCTGGCCCCCAGTACCATGGAAACAAATATGCTAATCCAGGGAGGGAGGGATCCATATAGAAAAGTATAGAAGTGTGTTTCTATCCAGGCCTGCTCCACTTTATGCCCCCTGACATGCTGTCGCAACTGCAGATCCTGAGTTGGTGTTAGGATGTAAAGGGGCCTTCTTATGTGAATGGGGCTTCTGATTTGAAGAAGCTACTCTTATCTGAAAGGGGGGCTCTAATGTGAAGTGGGGTTTGTAATGTTAAAGAGAGGGTCTCTGAGGTGAAAGGAGGAGATTCTGATGTAAAGGGGGGTCCAAATGTGATGGGGGGCTCCTGATATAAAGCTGATTTGAAGGAGCATTTTCATGTGAAAGGGGTTCCTGATGTGAAGGGGAACCCCAAATGTTTGCTTTTGAGTGAGTCACCCCCAGTTAAAATCCATACCAGACCCATATCTCAGATAAGGGTCTGGTATGGATTTTGTAGAAGCCGCGTGTCATTTCTTACATTTAGGTTTTTTACATTATAGACTGGAGTGCCTCAAAATTTTGCATACTTGTATGCTGGTATAGAAGATACAATAATAGTACAAGTATTAAAAAAGAATATGATAGTAATAATCTTGCATGTCACCATTCTTTATGGTGAGAAAATGAAGGAGTATGCTTAGCATGCTTAGCATGGAGCTGATTTCTGTATGGCAGCTATCCAACCTATTTAATGTGAAAGCTTTTAAAAACACTTACACTTTTCATTATCAGATTTCAGTTCACCAGCAAAAATTATTATCAATACTTTTCCTCCATCTATCAATGGCTAACAGTGTATAATACTTTACATTACAGCAGCTAGTACAGGTACTAGCTGCTGTAAATCTATACTGTAAATCTTTTCTGACTTTGTAACTGCTGTGTAGGGGATTTAAATCTAAATATATATAATATATATATATATA